CTAGGTTGAGTGGTCAGGCACTTTTTGATAAAGTCGCGTGGATATCCATTTTGTTGGAAGATGTTGTATAGGAGGTCTGTTTCCTATACATACATCCATAGCCACTGGAAGATGGAAGTGATTTAATTTTGAAACTGCTTCCTTCCTTTGAGCAGCTGAAATACAGACCCAATTCTCACAAAAAGCAGCAGCAAATGATGCAATGAAATAAATTTACTTACTATAATGTATAAACCTGACTGTGTATTGCTACATGGTCACCTGACCAGTGTGTGAGCAGGTGATTATCTGAATCCTAAAAAGGAAAGGATGCTGTGTGTGGCACTGTTTTAAAGTGGAAAGAAACAGGATTAGTCACCCACCAACGTGATAACTTCTCCCACCCTGAAATTCAGTAACTCACTATGCCTCTGTCTATTTCAGACTCATTCACCCTGCCAAGAAATAACCTGAACTCTGAAAACCTGTCAAAGTTTCTCTCTACCACATCTTATACTAAACAAAATCAAGGCAGGGATATTTTGAGTTTCTTTTTCATGCTTCTTCTTTCTCAGGGCTGAGTCGTTTTTTCTGAAACTCCTCCCTTAATGGTAGATTCATCCCTTCCCCATGCCCAGGGCCTGGCCTACATCCCATCTTAGTAGGTAAGGGTTCCATCATGTGTCTCCCTTCTACACTTAAGGTGCAAGTCAACCTCTTTATCATTTCTTGTAAACCAAATCCATCCATCTGTCATCCAGCTGAATTGCTCATCCCATCCTTAGCCACCTACTCAATTTTCTCCAGTGATTACCCCCCTCCCCCCACATTCAGTTATGAGCTAGTAGTCCCTCTGCAGTATCATTGGCTGGGAAATTGGATACTCTAGAGCTTCCTTCCCCCAGCTGCTCCAAATACTCAAAAATTCAAAGGCTGTCTTCCAATGGAACAGAGTCAGGATTTTCACAGTACAAAGCTAAATGTTAATTCCTAAAGAGTCCTTAAGCATCTGAGCACATAGAAGGCTGCACCCCAAACCCTAAGCCTTCCAATAGTGTGTCTGGTAGGGATAAGGAATGACCTTATCATACCAACAGTCACCTCTACCTCCTCCTATCCTGTGATGCACATAGAAAATTGGATACCATCCCAGACTTCCCAGAATCATGATGTATCATTGACCTATATATAGGAAGACCTGGGGCGTGACCAAGAATCATTCACTTGTCTTCTGCATCTGTCCTGGGATGGTCACTGGTTTTTCAAGTCTGGCAACTCGCTTTCTGAACATTATTTCCTCCCTTGGATCATCTTCTGCTCTAGTAAGGATCTTCCTTCCTTCCTTCCTTCCTTCCTTCCTTCCTTCCTTCCTTCCTTCCTTCCTTCCTTCCTTCCTTCCTTCCTTCCTTCCTTCT